AATTATAATTTTTTATCCAACTCTTGTAATTTACAGAATAAAAATTGTTATTCGTTAAATAAAAGTTATAATTGAGTCTTGTTTTCACTAACAAAACTTATACTTGACAAGTTATGATTTTTTATTTATCTTTTATGATTTATAAAATAAAAATTATGATTTTTTAAATAAAGTTATGATTAGATCTTGTTATTTTCAGTAAAAGTAAAATAATATTTTTTAAAAAATTATTGATAAATAAATATTTAAAAATTTTATTAATATTATAATATTTTGAGAAATCAAATTATTATTTATGTAATTTAAAAAAATTTTATTAATTTTTTTTTAAATTTTATTATGCAACTCCACCGACCTAGTTCTCTGTGATATCACAATTCCATATTGTCCGTCCGATACGTCAAATCGTGGCCGCTCCTCATTCTTCCAATTTCAAGCCTGGGAGAGTCGAAGCACCTGTATCGTCATTTTGCAGTACCAGCCAAGAGTCTCTTTTTCTTTTTTTTTAATAAATAAATAAATAAATAAATGCGAGCGAATCAATATATTAATCCAAGCTCAAAGGTAGAAGAGTGTAATGTAAGTAATTTTTTTCTGTCGCCGTTTCATTTTCCGTTGTCTCCGTCTCCAATTCTTCCCGCTTCACGTCGATGTATTAGCGTGAAATCCGAAAACTGGAGCCTGGAGCAAATGTGGCTTTTTTGTACTTGATTTCATTGATTTCTTCTCCCAATTTCTTTCATATTTTCTGTCAATTTGCTTGCCCTGTACTGGTGGATTTTCTGTCAGTTTTGGCGTTCCCCCCTCCCCCTTTGTTTTTGTTTTGGAACTTGGATGCTGGTTCGGCTTTTTAACTCCGTACTTTTGCTTTGGTTCTTGTCGAATTTGCATAATGATGGAGGTAAAATATGCTAGTTTGTCTCTTTTGATTTCTTTTTCTTTTTCCTTTTTTTGTTTCTTAAATATTATCGATAGTTTTTCTTCATAAACTTTGCCAATGAGTTCTGCTATGTAAAGGACGGACTAACAATGCAGACTCCGTAGGTGTGCGATGCAGGCTGAAATGGTGTGGTTTGGTGAGGATAGCTTAACCCATTAAAGTTTATTCCCTTTAAACCATTATGTTTTTCGACCTCCCCTGTAAACTCGAGCCTTTCTCCGTTGATACTTTCCCAATGGAGAAAACTGTAAAGCCCCTGACGATGGAGGGCTGCACAGCCTTTCTTCCCGATGATATCATGGTTAACATTCTCAAAAGACTTCCAGTGAAATCCATAATCCGTTTTCAATGCGTATGCAAACATTGGAACAATCCTTTCAAGATGCCGTTTTTTATAGCAGACCATCTCCACCACTCCACTCATCATAAACCTTCACTTCTCATCCGTTGACATTGTCTGATGAACTCTGACTGCTTGGTTAGACTAGATCGTTACATGCAAGAACTTATAGTGTATGAAAGCGAAGTTCAGAATGCACATTTGATTGATTTCTTCATGCCAGTTCACATAGTTGGGTCCAGCAATGTCTTGCTCTGTCTTGAGTTTTCAAATTCCATTTTATTTTGGAATCCAGCAACTAGAGTTACTAGACAAGTGCCAACACCTATTAATGACTTTAAAGGTAAGCTTTATCTAGGATTTGGATTTAGTCCAATTGCTAATGATTACAAGGTTGTGATAATTTATGTGATTCAGGAGGATGAGATTTATCGAGTGAATGAAGTGCAAGTATATTCATTATGCACAAATGTCGTGGAAGGAAGTAGAATGTGAAAACTTGGAGGGTTTGTGTTAGTTCTGAAAGTGTTACTGCTAATGGAGCTGTGTTTGGTATGGGTTCAATGGGGACGAAGATGAACTTGATGGTTATCATTTGATAGTTTCATTTGACATAGCAAATGAGTTGTTTACATTGGTGCCAATGCCTGATTTAGAATTTGGTGCGATGCAGGAGCTTACTGTGTTTGAGAATAACCTTGCTATGCTTTGTGACATGATGACTGAAGGAAGTGAAGATTATGAATATGATTGCATTCAGTTGTGGGTGATGGAGGAGGCTACAGGCATATCAGGGGAGAATGGAGCTGGACTAACGAGTACACTAGCAGCCCCTTTAGAGGCTCGCTAAGATTAAATCCAGTTGCAATTTGGAGGAATGAAATTGTCTGTGAAGCTAGATTGAAGTTTAATGATGAGAATGATGAAACAAAAGTTGTTCTATATCTGTTAAATGACACTACTAGTGAACTTGTGTGGTTTGATATCGATAAGTATAGCAATTTCTATACAATATTTAATCATGTGGAAAGCCTTGTATCAATTGGCAATATCCATGTTGAAGTAGGTCGTTAACCCTAATTTTTTTGTTATTTTGTAAGTTTATTTTGTGTAAGTACTTTTGGTGGAAACGAATCCATAATAGTTTTGATTATCTAGGTCAAGGGCAGGTTTAGTGGTAGTACAATAAAGCTGACCTTGATAACTGTAACGGTTGCCATTGATACATGATTGTGTTAAATTAAAATATTTAAACCATTCCAACATATTTATTCTTCTGCTGATTGTATTGGACATAATGAGGGTATTTAATTTTATCTTTCCATCTATTTTCCATGTTTATTAATTGTACTTCTTACATAATTCATCCTCATTTTTGCTCGTGCTTGATGATCTCTATGCATATCTGTTGCATTCATCTATCCGGTAAAGCATCTTTCTACCAAATTAAATGAATTACCTTCATCTGGAAATTCAAATTTCATAAAACCTTTGAAATAGTTCAACTCAATTCATGAGAATTATATCATGAATGAAATATGAATGGTTTTTCATAAAGTAGCACCTACAGATGTTCCTTTATCAAGTAGCAGGCTCGCAGCAAGCTTTCTACCATCAAAGTCGACACTAATCTTCCTAACTGTTTCTGTCACCAATATTAGAAAGAAAAGAAATATTGCTTATATAATTTTTTTTTAAAGGAATTTCTAATGCTTACGTCAATATTTCTTTTGTGTTTGCTTTGTTTGTAAATTGTTAAAGGGAGTTGGAAATTGAATATTTTATGCTTAATACTACATGGACGGATTATATTTTCCCATCAATCAAATGCGTTGAAAGTATATGATTATATTTTATTCTTAATACTACAAGGACGGATAATATTTGCTTTGTTTTCTTTTGCGTTTTACACTTTTTATTTGCTATTGTCAATATTTTATGCTTGTGGACGGATTGTGTGATAGTTGAACTCTATCTCAGATTTCTTGGATTTTTCAATGAACCGAATGCGTTATTACATTGACCCACCATTCTTTTATATTTCCTATAACCTTGAGTAGACTGCAAAACAATTAATTCCTTCTGTCATGTATCCCCGATTAATGCAGCCTCTCATGAATTTTGGATTTATAGTATTAAGTGAAAGGTTATACCTATACTTATGAGTTACGTCAACTCTATTCCACTAGTACCAATGGGCAGCATGAGGAAAGAAGCACCACGTCTAGGAATCAAAAAGAAAACCTTGCTAATATATATATATATCCCACTCCTTATCAGCGGAACTAATTAAGAAGAATGGTTGGAATCACAAACATCCACATTGTTCATATTTTGGATACCCGTATAACGATTGAAGATTGTTGAAGTGATTAATTCTAGGAAATTAAGCGGGGTTAGTCCTTCTCTCCAGAAAACTTCATTTCCAATCAATCAGGTTGATTTTGATTATGGGGCTTTCGAGATTAATATATATATATATATATATATATTAAAAAAATATAGAAAGGTACTAGAGCCCTAAGGAAGGCCAACAAGCAGTCCATACAGAGAAGGTTTCTATGTCTACCAGTTGTTAATATTGGAATTTGGAAGATGGTGCTTAATTAATGTACTCCTTTCGTTTTTATTTATGAAAGAAACTATTATTTTTAACTTATTTTTTATATAAACAAAATCATATTTTTCAATAGGCATTTATTACAAGCTTTCTAAATTACTCCTTATAATTTTATCATTTATAATCATAAAAAATAATTAACGAAGGCTTGATTAACATAATTAATAAAGGATATTATAATTCAGTTTTTTTATTTTTAGACACAATTAATATAGTTAATTAACTTTCAAAAACTATGTGATACAATTTTTTTCCCTACAAATAAAAACAGAGGTAGTATATTTTTAGCAAGTAAAGCATCCTTCGATCCAGCATTTTCTGAATAAAAAGAATTTCCTATCCAAGGTTAGATAATAGCCTTTCTTAACATAATAACAACCAAAATAATTTCCATCAAATAATTTGGAGTTTCACTTACTTTTTCAAATTTGGATTAGGTAAGTAATGTAAATTTACTCACTTAATAAATGTCTCATGTGACACAAGAATAATCATTGGATTTAATTGATCATCTATAAGAAATTTTGTTATATAATACTAAAAAATTACCAAATCTCAAATTTTTGGAGAGTATGAGAAGTGTTTTGATATCGTGCATGATGATTGTTTTGAATTTTTAGAGAAAAATTTATATTGATAAATTTTAATTATTGATGAAATTTAATAACTATTTTTATAGTAATTGAATCAATGAATTTAGGACATTCATCCAAAAAAGAAAAAGCACTAGTGTATTAATTCATTTAAATCATAAGGGCTGATAGATTAGATGAGAGATAACGGATGTTAACTAGATTCAAGTGCTTTGTCTTCTCACTTTTTTTTTTCCGGGGGGGGGGGGGGGGGGGAGATGGAATTTGCCTTTTCTAACTTTAAATCTGATGCAACAAGTGACCGAGTTTTTCCCCCCTGTATCTTTGATTAATTAAATGTTAAGTTCTTTTATTTGAGAGGTTGCCATTTCACTATATCATCAATTTTAGATTGAACATATTTAATTCCAGCATCCCACATTTCATTTTTTTTTTGTAAGTTATAAAGCCCTGTTTTTATACAAAATTAGAGATGAAACTGTATTTCTTTTTTTTTTTATGTATTTCTACTTTTAATACAAGTCAGTTTCCCGGCCAAAAATAAAAATTAAAGTCAATTGATCTATTCAATACTTAAAAGATAAATAAATTTTGGGTATTTTAAATAGGGGTAAATTAGCAACGTGGCCCCTAAAGTATAGTTCAAAAGTATTTAGGACTATAAACTTATCTTTTGTGCAATGTTAAATTTTTTAAGTTTTTTTTAGCATTTTATAGTCAAGTAATAGTTAAAGTTAACTTTTTTTAATAACAAGGGTTAGATTTTTAAAAGTTGAAAGGTAATATTGTCTAAAAAATAAAGGAAAAATAATAGAAAAATTTATTTAAATTATCTAAATGACATATTGGTAGATAAAGGGAAAATAAAAAAAAATCCATTTCAATTATCTAAATGACAAATTGGTCCTGTAAAATGACATAATTTTCTTGGAGTCCCATGAGATTTTTTGTCATTATGAAATTAAAGGAAATGATGAAATTGGCCTCAAATAAAACAAAAATTCCCAGCCTCAATGCAAAGTAATTAGCGTGCGTTCTTCTGCTTCATTGTCATGCCAATTTAGGGAAGGCAGTCTTTGTCGGGGATAGTACGGGTGCTAGCATCGCACACCACATGGCGATTCGGGTTGGTTTAGACAACCCATTAAAGTTGATGTTGGAAGCTTTAATTTTGGTGCAGCCTTTTTTCTGGGATGAGGAACAAACAGAGTCCAAATGGAATCAACCCGCATATGCAACAAAGTTGGATTGTTTGTGGAAGTTTCTCTATCTGAATGCATTAGGGGGCAATGATTTGTTGGTTATCTTGGAGAAGGATCCAAACTTGGGAAAGCTAGATTGTAAGAGAGTGCTAGTATGTGTTGCAGAGGAAGATTTGAGAGGGACAGAGACTTGAATTACAGAAAATTGCTAGAGAAGAATGGATTTTTGGGAGATGTGGACATGTTAGAGACGAAAGCAGAAAACCATGTGTTCCATTTATTGAAGCCATGCTGATTTAGTCAATTTATAGAGGATATTAATAAATTACAATCCTTTGTTGCATTGTTGTGAATTTAGGAACAAAAGTTGTTAATATAAAAACAAAAGTTGTGAATGAAAAGTTATGAATTTTCAACACCTGATGCATATTAAGACTTACAAATGTGAAGTTGCGAATAGCTATTGAATTATTGTGAATTTAGAAGTAAAAGTTGTGAATATAGGGACAAAAGTTATGAATGAAAAGTAGTGAATTTTCAACACTTAATACATATTAAGACCTAGAGATGCGGAGTTACGAATGGCTATTAAATTGTTGCGAATTTAAAAATAAAAGTTCTTAATAGGAATAAAAGTTGTGAATGAAAAGTTGTGAATTTTTAACGCTCGATGCATATCAGAACCTACTAATTAGGATTTGCAAACGAATATTGAATTGTTGTGAATTTAAAAATAAAAGTTATTAATATAAGAATAAAAGTTGTGATTGAAAAGTTGTAAATTTTTTTAATTTGAATTAATGGAAAAAGGGTCATTTCTTATAATTCCCTAATAACAGAAATATCCCTTGAGACTCTGGGGAATTATGTCATTTTGTAGGACTAATTTATCATTTAGATAATTTAAAGGGATTTTTATGTCATTTTTTCAAAGATAAATTTATGATATCAAACATTTTTAAACTAATAGTTTAGGAATCAATTTTCATATTTACCCTTTAAATAATGCAGATTTTTTGAAATTATAAAAAACAAAGAATGTTTTAGGTAAAAGTAAAAAAATTTACCATCAGCCACCTAGATCAACTATATATGATTAAGAAGTTGGTCAAGCTTAGTTGAAAATCTTGAGTTCGAGCCATGGGTATACAATAGTGATCAAATTTTTGGTTGAAAGTATACCTCCAAGAAATGCTCATAAGGTGCCTATTGAATTAAATCTAGGTCAAAGACCTAGATATTGCACCAAACGCCAAAAAATACAAAAAAAAAACAAAATTTATTTGTCATTAGTTATAGAATTGCCGATGATACGAAATTTATTTTTACGGATCAAACTGTATCTTTTGTGCATTGGGCGCCAGATCAATCAATAAAGAAGAAAATTTAGGTCCATCATGATCCAACTATGCAATAAAAAATTTACTCATGATTT